AGCTCAGCTGCGACGGGCACAGTGTAACGACACTCTCAAAAAAGTCCGTTCTCTGCAACGGGCTCGGTTGTCCATGATTGGCTTTCGCAATCGAAATATCCGCGGACAGGCTCCCAACACTCGATCCATCGACAGTATCCGACACGTGGAAGATAAGTGCCTGGCAGCTGCGGCCAAGTACAACGCCGCACGAGCGGCTTTATTGGCGCTGCAGAGTCCGGGAGATCGGGAGCCAGAGCTCCGTGAGCTGCGCCGTGGCGATCTCACGACACCTGATGCCACAGAGCTCTGCATTGAGGACCCAAATGACAATATTGGGCAGGACGGAAAGGCAAAGTCGAAGAAACAGAAGAAGATCGATCAACTGGGGCTAGGTGAAGGGAAACGGAAGATATCGTGGATCTGGAGGGTTGCGGGGGCAATGGGAGATGGTGGGGATGACATTTTGAATGATGGTAAGTCGTCCCTTCTTTTTCAAATTGTGCAGGGCTGATTTTTCATCTTTTCATAGCCCTGCGGATTGAATGGGCAAAGAGCCGGGCGCGCCATCTGCGATGGTCGGAGGAGGTGCTATTGCTAAAGGAAGAGATGAGACGGGTACGTAAGACCCTGGAGAAGAGAGCAGCCTGGTGGCAAGCACGTGAGGAACCCTGGGAGGGTTTGGATAGGGCAGAAGCAGAGGGAGTGCGTGCATACGCGAGACGACAGGCCGTGATGGAAAAAGCCCTCTATGAGTGCTTTACACGCCTGTGGGATGACCCTCTGTCTCCCTTGGTGAATCGGGAGGACAGTGGCGAGGGCCCTGGACCAGGGGTAGACCCCGCGCTAGAAGCAATGCTGGAGGAGGAGGAGGATTTCTAGCGGAATCCATATTGTTTTGACCAAATATGTGCAGTACCATCGAAAGAAAGCAAATGTAAATACAGCTAAAAGGTGTACAGAAATATAGCAGAAGGCTTAGGAATAAATAGCTGCAAATACAGGTATTTTGTGGTACCCTGGGATGCCTGCCTCTTTGGGTGTCCTGGGTAAATCCACAAAAAGATGCCATATGACCAGTGGATTATTCTGGTCCAGATGGCAAGTGCTCTGGTAGATTAATCCACTTTTCATGGCAAAGTCTTACAGCCAAGGGTGAGATCGTGACTTCCGCAGACTTTCGGACCGCTGTTTTGTCGAAGGACCAGTTTTGCGCCCGGACATTGTAGTCCCAGCACCATAATATTCCTCAACCAAATCATTGTCCGCCCAATCCATTAACCCCTCACGGATGATATTTTCCTTGTCTTCTCCGATGGTCTTCTTCTTACCGCGCTTGAGGCCTGGTGGCTCAAAAAGCGTATGTCGCCCTTTGTTTCTTCAGAATGCTTCATCTTCTGGACTGATAATGCCACGTTAGGCCGTGCGTTGGTCAATTGCACCATCTTGGTATCGCTTCCAAGCTGCAATTTATGCCGTACGTCATTGAGAACATGATGGGGAAGCGTTGCTGATGCCACGACGAATGGAACATTTTTAGGAAACCGACCACGAAGCACACCAAGGCCAGCATAGTCTGGACGAAAGCTCCCGCCCCACAAACTTATACAGTGTGCTTCATCGACGCAGACAGCGCGAAGTGCGCTCGAAAACTGGTCCTTCGACAAAACAGCGGTCCGAAAGTCTGCGGAAGTCACGATCTCACCCTTGGCTGTAAGACTTTGCCATGAAAAGTGGATTAATCTACCAGAGCACTTGCCATCTGGACCAGAATAATCCACTGGTCATATGGCATCTTTTTGTGGATTTACCCAGGACACCCAAAGAGGCAGGCATCCCAGGGTACCACAAAATACCTGTATTTGCAGCTATTTATTCCTAAGCCTTCTGCTATATTTCTGTACACCTTTTAGCTGTATTTACATTTGCTTTCTTTCGATGGTACTGCACATATTTGGTCAAAACAATATGGATTCCGCTAGAAATCCTCCTCCTCCTCCAGCATTGCTTCTAGCGCGGGGTCTACCCCTGGTCCAGGGCCCTCGCCACTGTCCTCCCGATTCACCAAGGGAGACAGAGGGTCATCCCACAGGCGTGTAAAGCACTCATAGAGGGCTTTTTCCATCACGGCCTGTCGTCTCGCGTATGCACGCACTCCCTCTGCTTCTGCCCTATCCAAACCCTCCCAGGGTTCCTCACGTGCTTGCCACCAGGCTGCTCTCTTCTCCAGGGTCTTACGTACCCGTCTCATCTCTTCCTTTAGCAATAGCACCTCCTCCGACCATCGCAGATGGCGCGCCCGGCTCTTTGCCCATTCAATCCGCAGGGCTATGAAAAGATGAAAAATCAGCCCTGCACAATTTGAAAAAGAAGGGACGACTTACCATCATTCAAAATGTCATCCCCACCATCTCCCATTGCCCCCGCAACCCTCCAGATCCACGATATCTTCCGTTTCCCTTCACCTAGCCCCAGTTGATCGATCTTCTTCTGTTTCTTCGACTTTGCCTTTCCGTCCTGCCCAATATTGTCATTTGGGTCCTCAATGCAGAGCTCTGTGGCATCAGGTGTCGTGAGATCGCCACGGCGCAGCTCACGGAGCTCTGGCTCCCGATCTCCCGGACTCTGCAGCGCCAATAAAGCCGCTCGTGCGGCGTTGTACTTGGCCGCAGCTGCCAGGCACTTATCTTCCACGTGTCGGATACTGTCGATGGATCGAGTGTTGGGAGCCTGTCCGCGGATATTTCGATTGCGAAAGCCAATCATGGACAACCGAGCCCGTTGCAGAGAACGGACTTTTTTGAGAGTGTCGTTACACTGTGCCCGTCGCAGCTTGAGCTCGATTCCTGCCAGTTTGGGGTGACATCCGTGCTCCCGATGGTTTGGAGGAAGGTTCGACGGCAGCCACAGGATCTGACTCTCTACTTCCACCCTTGGGCGTGTCGCTTCAGGAATCTGCCGGCGAGATTCCTCTTCCAATTCAATCATGAGGGCGGCTGAAGGTATGTATGATGACTGGACTTCACGAAAATGTTTCAATTGGCGGTGGAGTAAAAGGCGACGCTTCTGTATCATAGTTTCTTCTTGCGCTGTAAGCGATGGCTTCTGCGCGTCCCAATCAACTCGTCGTCTAAAATTAGACTTAGTAAGATTTGAGACAAGAACTGGTAACTCACTGTGTCTCCTCAATCAATAGTGCCATGGTCATGAAGGCGGTGGGGCCGGTATCGTGAATTTGCGGTACTCCCTTCTTGAGTTCTTCACCCTCCTCCTCCAATAGCACACGCTTTACTGCGTCTTCAGAGTCGTCTGAGTCCAAAAGTCAAATTACATCAAAGAGAAAAAAGTGAATGCACGTACGTGTCGTTAATGTTACGTACGGGTTGGGTTTTGACGCGTCCTTCTCCCAGGCAGTTATCATCGTCGTCCATTCCCGTTCAAATTTCACGTCGGGCAGTGATGCAGTAAACTCCTCGTAAATAACACGCTGCCATTTTGATTCCGCGGTAGCTAGACGAAGGCGCGAATGAAGAGTATTTCCTATTCAAAGTAAATGTTAGGATACGTGCCAATAGACTGATTTGATAGAGGAAACTTACCTAGCGCCACCTTTTTTCGCCAGTTGTGATGTCCAAAATGGTCGTCCAGGGTATCGTGGCGTGAACCTGGTCCCATTTCCTTGGTGCTGTTGGCAACGCGGTTCATCTCCGACCAGCTTCGCTCGATTCCCTCGCCATCCGTTCGGCCCACCCCTGGTTTCAGGTTCAAGGAATGTGGCGCCTGGCAGGGCAGCTTATGTGCCGGACAGTGACACTTTGGAATCCCCCAGTCCGTGGCCACAGAACTTGACAGCTTGAGTTCCTGAGGCAAGTCCTTCATTCTTTTCTTGAACCCCAGCTTATACTGACATGCTATGTCATAAGATATAAATACGTTCAGAAGGTGGCAAGGTGCCAGCGCCAAGAGCAATATGAAGTCCATATTACAATATCTACAGTGAAAGGGTTAGTCTGTGTTTTCCATAAGAACAGAAAAATGATCTACCTTTCGCCTTTTTGGAGATCACCAACACCGCCGGCTCTAACCATCTCATGACGTGCACATATGCACATCCCCACACCCGTCGATCGCAATCCGGCGGAGAACTTGGAATCCGCATGTGCCATGGTCTTGAATCCACTGCAATGGCTGATCTAAAAAAAGGTGAGTGGTCGAAAAAAACTATGCCATGAAGACTTACGTCCTTCTGGGAAGCGTACTTGAGAATGTGCCGGCGGTAAGGCTCGTCAGGCGGGAAGTATGCGAGCCCCGTATGGAGTCCAGGGTCCTTAGCGAGCGACGACCTTATAAGATTTTTCAAGCGAAAGTTCGTGTCCATGGCCACGATGAGGGTCACTAAAAATCTAACCAAATGGTTACGCGTTGTTCACGGGGTGATGAAACAAGACTTACTTCATTTCCGGTGTCACGTTCTTCCAATCATCAGGCAGGTTGGTTCCGGGGATCGGACAGGCTGGGCATTTGATGCAGAGATTGCCAGCCTTGGTGCTGGTGAGACCTCCGGATATGTTGCCACGGCCTGCTCGCTTCATCATTTTGAGGTGACAGAATTCGCATACCATGCGCATGAATGATTTGTAGCGAGTCTGTAGTGTCATTCAGCGCGGAAAAACCCTAAAGAAGAGATGACTTACTTTAGGCACATCGAGGTCTGTATTATCAGTTAAGTGTTCCAGCGAGCGATAGAATTCGTGCGCGGACAATTTGCCGGTGAGTGTGACGATATGGAAAAGTTCCAGCAGCCGGAAAGTGGTGCAGGTCTGTGGTGCATGGATTGTAGCTGGGAACCACTGGCTTCGAAGAAGCTGTTGACGATTGGGTATTCGCTTCTCGCAGCCACAGAAATCGACGGCTACGTGGTGAATTCCATTGGTGTGGAGGACTATGAAGTCCATATGTCCAGGTTGGGGTCGAACGCACTTGCCGCCAAGATGATTGAGGGCCACACGGAGACCCATTGACTTCAGGGAAACCTTCTCGAAGTAGTCGCCTGTCCATTCCTACACAAAAAAAGGGGGGGAAATTAATTGAGGAATAGTTGAGTAAGATCGGAACGACGTACCTCAATTATGTGTAGGGGAAGATGCTCGTGACGAGCGAGACAACACAGTCGGCATTCCAAAATGCCTCCGATACAATCCTTGCATCGAAAAGTCCCATCATCGCCATTACACGACATACAACACCCTGCCCATTGACAAGCATCGCCTGGTCCCTCCAGCCTCAGCAACTCTGAAAGGTATTCCTGTCGACAGCCGATGCCATCGCCATGCTTTCCAGACCATTCTAAAAGGGGTTCATCCTTTGAGGCACTGGTTAGCACAGAGCTTTACAAAATGGGAGGCCGCCTACCGATGTTGGGTACCGTTTGGAAGCAACCTTGCTGATGACATGCGGAATGGACGTCGAGGTCTCATCCGCGAACTCCTCGACATGCACGTATCCATCTTCTTCTGCATGGTCGTAGTCGTTACTGGGATTCCACTCATAATTGGGGGGGCGTTGGGGGGCCGCTGCTTGCTTTCGTGGGGAACGGGGGGTTTCTACCACTTGTCGGCCATCGCGTGAAATGTGGAGAGAACGAGCTTGCGGAACGTGTATGTCTTCGTCGTCTGAATCACGACAGATAACAGTAGTGGACACTTTCTTCCGTTTGACCATGTGGACGGTGACTAACAAGTTTTCTTTCTCACGGTTCTACTTCAGAGCGAAAGAAGTTCAACTGTAAAGGTAGTAGTTTTCTGAATACAATGATACATCTGTACGCGATTATTCAGTCGAGATTGTAGGCTTCTATATCTCCATTCAGATAGGCCAGAAGCCGGTCGTACCCCTCCATCTTGCGAGGCGGCATATCCTTCCTGATCAGCCTTTCAGCCTGGTCCATCAACCTCACCCACGTCAACTTGATCGGTGGCGAACGCCGCTTATTTTGGGGAAAAATGAAAGTGAGCCAGAATATGCGCCGTTTGAGCCACTGTAGGCAAATAATATGTAAGTCGCGGCATTGCAAATGTCGAGGGAGAGCGAACAAACCTCTTTTCTGAGCTTGGAAACAAAGACAAGATAGTCAGGGTCGTCTTCGAAAGGGCGAGTAACGATATCTGCTTCTGGCTCTGGGAAGCGCTCACACCAAAGGCCAGCCGCTCTGGTAAAAAACTCGTCGACCTGGTTTTCCTTGTATGCTCGGAGGAAGGTGGGCTTCAAGATCTCGATTGTCTTGATTTGTTGAACCTTTAAGGGCACCATCTCCGGCGGCTGAAATGCGATCGATCATGTCAGGGTCTCAACAATGACGACAGCGATCAATCATACCGTTTCGGGTTGTGGGGTATTTCTGTGAGGCAAGGGGGCATCGTCCACTGGCTGGACACAGCCGCGCATGCGAGGTTTGACCATATGAACGTGATGAGAATTTGTGTGTTGAGAAGTGGTGACTGCATGTCAGAACCTTAATTGTGAGGATCAATAACTGTACAGTTTATTACTTGTGCCAAAAGTTGTGCATTTTTCTATAGCGTACTGTAAATATCATTTAGCTACAAGCGACTGTGAATTACGACGCTCGATCTCCTCCAAAAAATAAACACTGATCCTGTAATCACGCGCAACCTTATCTGCGGCGCGCCAAAGGTCCCCACCCCCATCTTCTTCAAGGATTATGTCCAAAGCGCAGTGGATGGCAGGTAGAGACTTAATCCATGTTTCCTTGACTTGCGATACCAGGTTCGCTGCATCGCAATTTGGATTTTCGGCACATTTTGTTGCAAGCGCGTGTTTGAACTCGTGAAGATCCCCCTGCGTGACCTCTTCAAAAGCCTCTCTAGCACGGAGGACGACAGCATAAGGGTGCGTGCTATACAGACACATGTTAGTTTCATGGTGTCAGAGGCTTAGTACCACACACCTAGTACTGTTGTCCTCCTTCTCCACTTTGAATTCCATCTCGGCCTTTATATTTGCGAGTGAAGTCTTCATTTCTTTGTATGAGCGACGTTTTCACCGACAGATAGAGTGACGGTTCCTATACACAACTTGTCAGTGTCGAGAGACTATATTTAATAAATACCTACTTCGAATAGTACTTTTCTTTTGAGGCGCGGACGGCGAGCGCTTTTTCTTCTGGACTGTGGTAAAGTCGAGGCCGACCCATGGTTGAGATTGGGTGATGGGAATCTCTCCTGATGCGGTGCCCAAATGAATGTAAACATGACACTTTCTCCGACTTTTATGTGCGCCCACAATGCCATTGAACACGGTGTACATGGTTTTAGGATGGTAGTAAAGCTGCAGCGTGACCGAGTCGAACCATACAAGTTTCAGGTTTTATTTGTTTTGTAAAGATTCACTAAGCGGCAGTTACCAGTGAATCCTCACAGATGATTGACAGACTGAACAAACCTCCCTCCTATTCGCATAGACCACGGCCACAAAAATCTGGTTTTGAGATTTTGAGAAGTAAAGTATGCACATAGATTACATTATATTATGTGGAGGGCCTCGAGTACATCAGAATACAAGCTTGTCTGTCGTTGAACCATAGAGGTTTCAGGTTTTATTTGTTTTGTAAAGATTCACTAAGCGGCAGTTACTGAATCCTCACAGATGATTGATGTACTAGACTGAACAAACCTCCCTCCTATTCGCATACTAGACCACGGCCACAAAAAATCTGGTCCTGTTACTGAATCCTCACAGATGATTGACGTACTGGACTGAACAAACCTCAGGCTCCCTCCTACTTATTCGCATAGACCACGGCCACAAAAATCTGGTTTTGAGATTTTGAGAAGTAAAGTATGCACATAAATTACATTATATCATGTGGAGGGCCTTGAGTATATCAGAATACAATCTAGTCTGTCTTTCTTTACAGAAAAAGCATCACAAATCCGAGCCAGAGTTATTCATTGAAAAAAAATATGGTCCTCGAGTTACTTAGATGATATTGAAAGGGCAAGGGAGTATATTCACGAGTATATGAGAGCGATACATTGAGACATTTGATCGACAAGAAATTGCGCAAGACATCGGGTTGATAAGTACTCTATCTAACCTCACTTGTGGAGTTGCTCAACAAAGTCCGATGCGATGGCCTGCTGCATCCTAACATGGCCATCGTAAACGCTCGCAACACGCCAAAAAACAGCGTTGGAGATGCCGGTGACGAGTGGGGAGGTATTGCCCCTGGAAAATGGTTAGAATGATTTAATAAAGCGAGTATTTGAAAAAAACCCACCAGCCAGCGAAGATTCCAACTTGCAATCCACGGGTGATGACATAGAAAGGGCCGGCTTCAGTGCTTGCAGGAACGTGGTACGATCCGCCGTTGTCCCCTCCACTTTCACCGCCCGCTTCACCGTTGTCGGAATCGAGGGCTGTGGCAGCGACAGCTGCGGTGAGCGTGTCAAGCTCTGTGAGATCGTCCGAGGATGCTGTCATTGTGTTGTTAGTCTAGCAGGCAGCTGCCGTGTTAAGGTACGCACTTTCGGCAACGAGGGTGGTTGTGACTGAGAAGGCAGTGGCCGCGCTCGCACGCATCGGGCTAGCAACGGAGGCCATGGCCACTGGTGAAGCAGCAGAACCTGGACCAGAACGGGTCCTACCAGTAGAGGCGGATGCTCTGGACACCAACGGAGCAGCCGGAAGGGGGTCAGGTAGAATGAAAGGAGACGGGCGCGAGGTGACCAAAATAACGTCGTCGGGCAGCAAATGGTCAAGCCCGTCGCTAGCAGCCTCACTGACTGGAGGCAGTACTTCAAAATCATCAGCAGCGATTCTCGAAGTTGGCTCGCTGACTGCGGCGGGGGGGCTTGAACTGTTGGAGATCCTCAGCAATGGGGAGGGAACGTAAGCGAGTGGCGAGGTTTCCAGTGCTGAACTTACGACTGTTATCTGCCAAAGAGGTGCCCCCCCTGGTGGGCGCATCGTTGTGAGGTAGCCGTGCCATCGAAATGTAAGAGGTGGTTGAAATGATGAGTAAGTGTTGGGAATGAAAGTTGGAAAGTGGGGGGAAAAAAAAGTTGACGTTTTTATCCATGGCGCGACTGGCTTCTGGGCTTCCTTCCTACAGCGGAAAGCGGGTGTTACGTAGTTGAGAGCCACCAAAAGAGCAGCTGGGCAGGAGTACATACCTACTTTTTCCCCCTTTTTCGTCCTCCTTCAACGCGAAAGTATGGCGAGCGAGACTGACCACTCTGGCGCATTGTGGTTCGTGATAAACCTGTTTTGTTGTTTTTTGTTTATGTTTTGCCATTTTAGGGATCCCGTGCCTTTACTCTGCACCCTGAAGAAAGGCTGGGCAAAAGGCGCCTGCTTATCATTCCTTGAGGGCCACATCCAGCCCTACAAAGAAGTGGGACTCCATTCCAAAGCTCGTCGCACTGCGTATGTTGACCAGGTTGTTAACAAGTGGTTCGCGCGTTTTCATTGGACCTTACCAATCGACAACGACGACCCTTCTCCCTCGACGCCGTCTTCTACAATTGCTGAAGATCTTTTGCCAGCCGACACAAAGCTCAAAGGGGAGGTCATAAGTCATGTCGGAAAGGTATGTATCTCGGTTAATACATCCCAATATATTTCTAACCTAGCAGACAGGCAATCTCAAGCTGGTTATACTATCGTACCCAAAAAGCAGAACGTGTATCCAACCTCCAATCATCTAAGAAGGTCCACGATCCCATCAGTATATTGATCTCAAGGCTATCAGGGACCAACGAGTCGATCCCGAAGCTTAAATCGGGCTGGGAAGCGTGGGGGAAAGCAAATTTTGAATCACTCAAGCGTGCTTTCAACGACCAGTTCAAATCAACCGGTGTCTCTGACAAAAGTCGCACCGCCGCCATCAACAAGTTCAAGAAGGAAAAATTCCTTGAACTCAGTGAGGAGGAGCAGGAGGAGTGGACTCAGAAGGCTATTACTGACCACGAGACCGCGAAGGCAGAATTGAAAGATCGTCAGGGCCTCCCATTGCTCCTATCACCGCAATATACCCAAATGTACGTTGTTCTTTGATTGAATATTCATTTGCAGTGCTGACTGTCTTCCCTTAGCGCTCTCAACCAAATTGGCGTCATCTTAACGCCTTTTGCGCAAGCAATCAGTGCAAGCCTCGGCATGCACTGTTCTATCTTTTTGGGTGGCCCTGAGCCGAAGAGACAGGGACAGCTCAACCTCATCAGGTAAGTTGTTTGAGCCGTCTAAACTTGGACGCTCACTTAAGTATCGATTTCAAAGCATTCACGAAGGCGTCAACAAAGCGCCCGTGCCCAAGGTTTGGGGAGAGGCTGACAAGGAGAAATTCAAAGAGGTTACAAACAATTTCTTAGCATACCTTGCTGGATGCTACAGTGAGTCACGTATAAATTCTACACATTTCCGTTGCTGATGCAGAGCCAGCTCCTGAGGAACAACGGGCTCGCGCCCTGGATCCAAGTGTCGCCAACACCTCTGCATCAGTACCAATCGACAACCACCCTACCTCCAGTCCACCAGTCCCCTCAAACGATGCCTCGCCAGATTCCGCCATCCCTCCTGCAACGGCCATGACAGCTGCCGCGGTCCTCGGAAAAAAATGTAAAAGGAAGAACGGGCATCAAAAATCCAAGAAGCCACGCAAGAAGCAGAGGAAATTCATCACCTCAGACGATGAGGAGGATAGCGAGGGCTCTTCGACAGACACCGACTCTGCTCACAGCAGCAACGGAGACGACAACGACAACGAGGTTGAGCCAATCCCTCACAACACGAGGCGGCGCAGCACCAGGGGGTCAACGTCTGTTGCCGCTGTCCCACAAGGCACCACTTCACCTGTCAAAGAAGTTGACAGTATCCAAGATACTATCATCACGTCTCCCGCACGTCTTCCGGCCTCTCGTCCAGACGAGCCCTCGGTCCAACAAGCATCCCCCACTCCTGCTCAGCCTTCCCCCATGGTTACGTCTCCTGTCCGCTCTCGTCAACCGACGCCTCACGTCACCATCCATCCTGCTATTGGCGTGGATGACTCCTGGCCGGACTGGTTTGTCAAGGCGCACGAACACTTGACAGGCCCAGATTTAGGACCTGTTTTCAACGCCATCGTCTCAAAATATGTTGCCTTCGAGAAGCTCGCGGGATTCTCGCCTGAGCGACGCAACGCCGGCTTTGGCAGCAAAAACAGACCTTCTCAGGTGACGTGGTGGGTGGGCTGTGGGCGCAAGGCAACCCCGAAAATTACCGATATACCGGCATTTGCGAAGCAATGGTGGTTGTGGTGGAAAGGCTTGCAACCTGCATGGCGCAACGTTGCAGCTTTCCAGGGGGGTTTGACTTCGGCGCACAGGGAAGTGGCCGACGGTGACAGTGGGTGGGTGGATATGGAGCGCCGTGGCCAGAACGCGTTCTACACAGTCCTCGCCACTCTACGATGGTGGGGCACTGCTATTGGGGACACATGCACGGAGAACGAGGAATGGCTCTCGGCGGGCGCCGATGTCGAGTGGGTCCTCTCAAATCTCCTTGAAATGTAAGTAGGGGACTAAATGCCCTGGCACAACGTATTAACTATTGTTTCATTAAAAAGGTCCACTCCCCCCTCGTCTAAGGCCCCGCCGGAGGATACCCGTCGCAAAACCGCCTCCAAACGGCGTAGATGAGACCATCACGCACGCTACGTCCGACCTTCGTCTGAATATCTCTAAGGGGTACAATTATATCTTGACTGTCGCTGTAACAGGTTAGTCCTACATAGCATCACTACCCCGCACACATTACTTTCCATCACCTTCGCCCACTTACTGTAAACGTGCACACATCTCACCTATGCTTACTTCATCTTGTATTACGTCATCATGTACGCTGTATTCTACCTCGTGTACAACACGAGGAATATCATCTCTTTTATCATCTATTCGGACTCTACGAGTTTGACTCTGAAAGCCTTATCAAGGGCCACAGTCGTCAAACCTTGAGTAGCTTAGTGAGGAAGAAGGATCTGAACGACGCATCTTCCGTGGGACTGCACCCGGAAGACGGAACGCGAATTACGTTGGACTGTCACGTTCTTCGTCTCCGAGCGCGATCCTCGATCTGCGACCACTACGCGGGTCATCACACCTCTGCTCGCCAGTTCCACAACGGCTTTCCCGCTACCCTAGTGGATCCTACCCCAAGTAGCGGTTCACAAAGGTGGACACTGTGGGAATCAGCCGATTTGTCTGGCCGGCAAGCTTAGCAACTTCTCGCTTCGTTCTTCACTATCTCCGACGACTTTTTCTTCGAATTCACTATCTACGACTCGAAGACACTTGCAACACTTGTTTCGAGCGCTTACAACCCTCGACATTTTCTAAAAACTGGCGTCAAATCGCGTTTCGAGGAAAACCTCCCCTCCCCCTGGGTCAAGAGGAGGAAGACCAGCTTACAGCGGCACATCAAGGCTCACAGCCCCTACCGCTGCTTCTTCTGCGAAAGCTCTGAAGCCTGGTCCTTCAACGTCCCCTCCGAGTTCGTCTTCAAACTGGAGAAGAAGCCCATCTAACGAACAGTCAACCGACGCCTTTACTCCATCCCGCGATCAACCGCCTCACTTTCCTCATTCTAACACCCAACACTAGTGGCTACCATTTTATTTCTATAACCTAGACCCAAGCCTAGAGGGTCATTTCTATAACTTAGACTTAAGCCTAGAGGCCATATCTATAATGCTTAGGATTTTTTGAAAGGCATTTCAAATGTAGGCCTGGGTATTTCATAGTGAATTTTCCATAGATACCCAGCGCATTTTCTGCAAAGTTTCAAATGCAGCCCTGGATATTTCATTGTGATTTTTCAATAGATACCCTGGGCATTTCATTGCGATTTTTCAAATGTATCCCTGGATATTTCATTGTGATTTTTCAAATGTATCCCTGGTGTATTTCATTGCAAAATTTCAATGGATACCTGGCGCATTTCATTGCGATTTTTCAATAGATACCCTGGGCATTTCATTGCGATTTTTCAAATGTATCCCTGGGTATTTCATTGCGATTTTTCAAATGTATTCCTGGGTATTTCATTGTGATTTTTCAAGAGATACCCTGGGCATTTCATTGCAAAATTTCAAATGTATCCCTGGATATTTCATTGCGATTTTTCAAATGTATTCCTGGGTATTTCATTGCGATTTTTCAATAGATACCCTGGGCATTTCATTGCAAAATTTCAAATGTATCCCTGGATATTTCATTGCAAATTTTCAATGGATACCTGGCGCATTTCATTGCGATTTTTCAATAGGTACCCTGGGCATTTCATTGTGATTTTTCAAATGTATCCCTTGGTATTTCCTTGCGATTTTTCAAATGTATTCCTGGGTATTTCATTGTGATTTTTCAATAGATACCCTTGGTATTCCATTGTGATTTTTCGATAGATACCCTTGGCATTTCATTGCGATTTTTCAAAGGTATCCCTGGGTATTTCATTGCAAAATTTCAAATGTAGCCCTCGGCATTTCATTGTGATTTTTCAAATGTATTCCTGGGTATTTCATTGCGATTTTTCAATAGATACCCTTGGTATTTCATTGCAAAATTTCAAATGTAGCCCTGGGCATTTCATTGCGATTTTTCAAATGTAGCCCTGGGTATTTCATTGCGATTTTTCAATATGTATGCCCTGGGCATTTCATTGTGATTTTTCAATAGAGCCCTTGGTATTTCACAGCGATTTTTCAAATATATCCCTGGGTATTTCATTGCAAAATTTCAAATGTAGCCCTGGACATTTCATTGCGATTTTTCAAATGTATCCCACATGTCAGGGTCCATGCAATGGGCTTCCCTGGAGGGTGGTCACATGACCAATTACCAAAAATGGTCAAGAAACGAAAGTTGTAGCCCTACACTGTAGCTTCCCAAATCTGTTTGAATTATGTTCTGAAGTGCTCCCATTGTGGAGAT